GTCGTTGTGCTAGATGGTAGTGTGCTTGTCGAAGCGACCGATGCAGTTGTCTCTGCTGTAATGGTGCTTGTTTGGGTTGCCGACGTCGATTTCGTTGATGTAGCAGCCGCAGTCGATGTAGTAGGTTCTGCAGTTGTCGAACCCAATGTTGTGCTGGATGGTAGTGTGCTTGTCGATGCGAGCGGTGTAGTTGGCGAGGTCTTCTGTTGTAGTGATGTCTGCTAGAGATGCCGTCATCGAGGTCGATAACGTGCTCACCGAAGGGGTTTCTGTAGATGTCGAAACCAGTACTGTACTGAAGCTTATTGGAACATAGCTCGTAGAAGTCAAAGCAGGCTGTGTAGCCGTCGACACCGGTACTGTACTGGGACTCGTCGGAAATTCGCTGATCGGAGTCGAAGCAGGCTGCTCAGTTATCAAAGTCGCTGCTGTAGAACTGTTTGTGAGAACTGCAGCCGTCGAAGTCGCCAACGTAGCTGTTGAGATGGATGTTGTTGTTGTCAAGGCTTGTGCTGTAGCAGTGCTCGCTAGTGCTGTTGCGGGTGACGTTGTCGGTGCCGTTGTCGATGGAGAATGTAGTGTAGTGGCATTCACTGAGGGCTGTGACTAACGATGTCAGTACTGATGTTGTTGATACTGGTATCACTTTTGTCGGTGTTGCCAAAGTCGCTGTAGATGTGCTCGCTGAAGATGGCAATGACGACGTCGATGGATGTAATGCCACCGTACTTGTTGGAGCTTTTGTAGTCGTCTTCTCGGCTTCGTGACCTGAAGAAAAAGCAATTATATAATAGCTCTTGTTCCCATGTTGAGGAGAAATTGTGAACTTATCTTATTTTATTTCAGTGAAGTTGCTTTTATTAGCTTGCTTTTAATATTCGCTGCGCATTTCGACACTTTCGTCTGCTCAAGAGCTTTCACTTTCAATAGGCATCTAGTCAACGCTGCAACCACATTTAAACCAGTGGTTAGGGAGATTTGAAGAGTAATAAGGGGATAATGCTCTTATCACTGGCCGAGCTGATGACAAATAAGTCAAGTTATTGTTTGAGATGAGTGTAAGCTTTACCCTTTTCCCCTCGCATGTGTTCCAGTGACCAAGCCCCGTGAAGCCATGACATTCCTCATTCGAAGTGAGATCTCTGCAGGATGCAAAGCGATGTTAGCTCAATTAAGCAACACGAGAGCTGTGCGATGTATGTGACACTGAGGTCTAGGTCAGTTTACACAAAAAGCTGCGCGTCGTCTTTATAATTTGTGGTCGAGCGTGATTCTTGCGCGAAGCTTTTTCGGGCGCTTTTTCGCAAATTCTATTGGTGATTCCTCTCAAAAATCAAATTGCTGATTTTAAGAGCACTCCGCAAAACAGCACATTGTTGTACAAGGAAGTCTCCCGTTTTTACACACAGGCTTGATTTAGACGGGACCCTGCATTCATTTTCAGTGAATATCGGCTTGTAGTAATCTCTTTGTGCTTCCGAACCACAATTTTTTTTCAGCAGTCAGGAGTATGATGGGTCACTCCCTGATAGTCTATACTATTCATATGACGAACGTGATGCCACGGTCGCACTCAAACAGAACAATGTACCTAACAATCGTGGAAGCATCCATTTACACCTTCAGCCCGTGGTGCAGGGCATTCTCATCCAGAGTGACTTAAACTGAGGTTAATCATCATAGCTCATGTTGGCCACTGTACTCTACGCCTATTCGTAGTGTTTTGAGATGTCAAAAGGGATCTTACAATGCCACACCATAATCAGAAGGCTGCTGCTTTGACATATGAGAAAAATCAGAGCTCCAATTTTTAGGCCTTCCATACTCCTAGCAGATGTCTCAGCATTGCCTTATTTCGCATCGAAGGTGCTTCGCCACAAAGTGCCTAAGGTTCTGATCAACAGCTTTCGTGTAGGATAGAAGTAAAGAGGGCAGTCAGGTGTGGAGCAGCTAGAAAAAGTCAAAGACCCTTCTAAAACGGATTTTGTCGGGGAGTACTGAATTGAGAGAGCGTCACCTCATCCAGCGCCCGATTCAGCTGCTAACAGCCCTGCTATGAGACTTCCGTTACCGCTACCGGTGCTTATGAAAGTACTCCGCTAGTTCACTGCTCACCATAATTATAGCTCCACCCATGAATCTTTCAGAATCCCGTCTTACATGAGTTTTTCAAAAATGTTCTCACATAGAAAATGTCAACACCGGAAACTAACTTGAAAGAACAAGTTTTTTGTTCATTTTTTTGAAAATTGGTACTCTGACAATTCCACAAAATGATAGTTCCACCTCATATTTTGTCGCTGCCTCTGTTGGGTAAAACTGTCTCATCATTGTGACTCTTCGCTTTTTCTAGGCTATGGTGAAGAACACTGATTATCGTACTTTGAAAAAGGACAGATAATTGCAAAGAAGGACTGTCGAACCGTCAAATCGCACGGGATTTGGGCCGCAGTCATCATGTGGTCAACAATTTTGTCAAGCAACCTGCAGGATATGGAGTTAAGAAGAGCTCTGGGCGTCCTCCTTTGCTCTCTGATAGGGAATAAGCGCCATATTTGAGACAAGCATCTCTGATAGGGATAAGCGCCATATTTGAGAGAAGCAGCAAATTCTCCAATGTCGTGCCCGGAAATAAAGTCAACTTTGAAGCTTAACGTCTCAGAGGAAACTGTTCGGCGTGTCTTGAAGAAGTCTGAGTTCATTCTCAGGAGGAAAATGAGGAAGGCACCGTTTCTGACAGAAATGCATCGTGAAAAGCGAATCGACTTTGCTAGGAGATGTTGCCGAACCGATTGGAGTAAGGTTAGCTTATGGCAGCGGTGCCCTACTGCTTGTCTGTCTTGCCTTTTCAGTTTTTTTTTCTTCAGGTCGTGTTTGCTGATGAGAAAAAATTCAACTGCGACGGTCCAGACGGAAATCGGTCCTACTGGCACGATCTTAGGAAAGAAAGCTTCATTTTTCCAGGCGGAACTTCGGAGGAGGTGGTGTTATGGTCTGGGCTGCCTTACCATCAACGGGACGTCTAAATTGTGTTTCGTTTCGAAACGAAATAAAACCTCTCGATGATCTAAATTTCATGCGACGAGGTCTCCTTCCTTTCTGGCGTAGAAATCGGCAAGAAGACCTCGTTTTCGTGCAAGATAATGCACCAATTCATGACAGTCGAAGCACTCGAGCGTGGTTCAGTCGTCATCAAATCGCTCTTTTGCCCTGGCCAGCGATAGCCCCGACTTAAACCCAATCGAGAATGTGTGGGGCTTCATGGTGCGCAAGATCTATGCGAACAATGCACGATTCCACGATGTCCGTGAGCTTAAGGAGTCAATCATTGATGCATGGCACCATGTCGACCGAAAGCTTATTGAAAACCTCTATTCGAGCATGGACAACCGCATTTTCCAACTTATTCGGAGAAATGGAGCTCCAATAGATTACTAAATTAACAATTCATTCGTTTTGTTGTACACTTGTTGTTGGATGATCGATTTGTTTGGTGGAACTATCATTTTGTGGAATTGTCAGAGTACCAATTTTCAAAAAAATGAACAAAAAAAACTTGTTCTTTCAAGTTAGTTTCCGGTGTTGACATGCAAAGTGGTATTGATTATTACCTCATTTTCTATTTGAGGACATTTTTGAAAACCTCATGTAAGACGGGATTTTGTAATATTTATGGGTGGAACTATCATTATGTGGAGCAGTGTATTTCTAGAAACCAAACTACAAACCCAGCAGCGCGAAAATTTCAGATATTCTGAGCGTGTCGAGTATTTTGAGTGTTGGCAATGAATATGAAGCGTTACAGTAATTATAGACCGAGTTTATATAATGCACGTTCATTTCTCGCAAAACTCTTGGGGTTGTTCCGTGTAAGGTTCTCACGATCCAGGTATCACCGGTGAGAAGGTATACAGAGGGATCTACTTCCTCCGAATATGCAATTCTGTCCTGCTATGACAAATGACCTTGGTCTCCACCGAAGAAAGATTCGATTTGTGCAAATATCGTCCGCTCCTGGAAGCAACCCACACAGTTCAAAGCACCTCCGCTTCGTTCGATGAGAAAGTTGCATCCTATCATGCCATGGTGGATTGGTTACGAAAGTTCAAAGTGACGACTTAGAAGACAACTTGTAACGTCTCTTTCTCAATCCAAGCGATTGCCTCATAAGTGGATAGTGAAGGATGCAAACAATTGTTACTATTGCAGGGAAAGGTCTGGTGAATGTGCTTCATGGACAGAACTTTTCAAATGAGACTTCGGGATTTTTGGAAAGCCGTTTTTGCAACATGTTGCTTGAGATTAAAATGGAGGAAGTTAACGTTGTCAAGTTTTCCGCGAACTTTTCCCACGACTCTATATCATCGATATAACTGAGAACAGCAGAAACCAACATTGTGGATTCAATTAGCAGGCAAGACCTCTCATCATAGAACTCTTCAGATACTCAGGAAGACACTGAACTTTAGATGTGATCTTGATTTTCATGACGTGACCGATTGTCTCTTGAGCGTAAACATGGAATACGAAATGAATGAAACAGAAGTGGATTGCTTCAAGGTACGGACGATATTCGCACGGTTCAAACCTTCCTTCGGTAACGATCAAGGTTCCTTGCCGCAGGTACAGAATTCCACACCCAAAAGTAGAATACCAGCCCTGTAGTTTCCATTTTCGCCATGTCTCTCAGCCGTTCAGCTGTCCTCTTCGAAAAGAAAAGTTATACGCACACGCTAAAGTGGGTTGGAGCCCTGACTGACGAACAGCAGGCTTGAGACTTACCCAATTTTCAATTATGAGAAGTTTTTATAACGATACTAGCGCTGAGCGATAGCGTGGTAAAAGCGGCGAAGGTGATTCTCAATACTGAGGCCTGTTCACTTGAGTCGAAGTAGGTCACATAGAA